ATAACATGAATCAAATATGTACTTTATTCATTTACAATAAATGTCATAATGTACATCAATCTGATTGGAGCTAAGGGCATACATTGTCTAACAGAAAAGACTTGTCACATCCGAGGGAGGGGTCCACCTGCAGCCAAATAAGGAAGAAAAACAACTCCACACATAAGAAGCAAAGGGACAAGAAAGTAAAAGATGTGTTACTATCTCACCATTTCCCAAACAGAGGCAACAAGCATGAGGGGAGAGGCAGTGATTCAGCCTCCTTTTTTGTAAATTATCCAGAGTATTAATTTTCTAGAGCACCACCTTGCAGCAAAAGGCTCTTATTTTTGGGGGTACAGGATTACACCAAACTTCCTTTGTAGGAAAGGAGCCTCTCGGGTGTGAGGATTGAAGGAGGGTGGAGAAGAAAGAGGCACAGGTAAGATCATCTACTAAGCCCATTTCAGATTCCCTCAACCCTTTCTTTAATCCTAGATCCCAAGGGTTTTCATTAACAAGAGCTAAAGAAATCGCTCTCCCTTTGTTGAGGAACAAAGAATAGATAGGTGGAAATTTGTCTTTGAGAGGAGTGTCCCCAAGCCAGGCATCCTCCTAGAAATGTACTTTGTTACCCATACACGCATCATACCTGACCAACAGAAGGAAAGAAGGTAGCAAACCGTGAATTGCTAAAAGCCCTTGTTGCTCTAGGATCGAGACCAGCGCCCCATCCGTTGTCTGCCATGCCATGAATGCTTGCAATTACATTATGCCATAAGTCTAGTTCTCTTGTTCCAAAGAAAATCTCCACAGCCACTTACCCAACAATGCCATATTCCTAAGGATGATGTTTCCTATCCCTAGGCCTCCACTATCCCTACTCCTTGATACCAACTCCCACTTTAACAAATGATCATTTTTTGTATCCCCCGGCTCCCACAAGAATTCTCTCATCAGTTTCTCCAGTTTATTGGCCACTTTTATGGGGATCTTAAGGGTTGAGAGGTAATAGACTGGCAAATTAGTCAAGATTGACTTTATTAGAGTTATTCTACCTCCTAGAGAGATGTAGTTTCTCTTCTAGCCAGCAAGCCTTTTTGTGAATCTTTCCACTATCGTATCCTAAAAACTATAAGAATTCAGGTCCCCCCTAAGGGTAGTCCAAGGTACTATAGAGGCCAATCACCTACCTCACAACCCAACAAACTAGCTAGGCTTTCAACCTCTCCTCTCTCCTTATTTAACCCTACTACACAACTTTTGTTGTTGTTTACTTTGAGATTGGGGATCTTTTCAATAAGGGTTACCACCACATTATTCTCCAACCTCGTATAAAATTATTGGCATCAGCCCTTGAAGTCAAATCGCTAAACACATCTGCTACTAGAGTGAAGAGGGAGACAGGGGGTCACCTTGTCGAAGGCCCCTCTTAGCTGGAAAGAAATCTCTAGCAACTCCATTAACCAAAATGGAATAATGAAGCAAATCAACGACATATTTCCTTTGAGAAATATAAATGCCCCTCTTTAACCTTGCGACCTCAATCCCTAGAAAATACCAGAGATTTCCAAAATCCTTAATTTCAAATTCAGTAGCAAGAAAAGACTTTAGTTCAGTAATTCCAAAGATATCGTCTCCTGTGATAACGATATCATCAACATATACTATCAACATAGTCACTTTTCCATTTGCTATCCTGATAAACAAGGTATGGTCAATTTGAGATTGAGCGAAGC